AACGAAAATACTAGATAAATATGATAAAAAAAGCATCTAAGTGTAATAGAAACTACATTAATTCCTGCTCGCACCAACCACAGTGCTGACGTAAAATATCCTCAGTGGTAGACAGATCATGGGTGAGAGTTCCCTTGCCATAAAGCTAACTGTGGTAGGTTTTTCTAATCATGTGAAGCAAATACGAATTGGTTCCATCAAAGTCTCCCACGAAGGCAAATTTCCCCCAATACTTCTTCCATAGAGGCATTTTTTTATTGTTACACAATATATATTCGGCGAGCAAACGGTTAGAAAATTACACTAAAAAGTAGAAAATATTTTTGAGAAAGATCATTCTAAAAAATAATCGCATAATAATTAAAAAAGTAAATAAATATTGTATTGATTGCGGTAAAAATTCTATTAAAAATAATTATAATTTTAATCCTTCCAAAAGTAATCTAAAAGTAATCCTAATTAAAAATCCTTCTATAATTATAATCCTTCCCGAAGCGGTAAACTAAAATCCTTCTAAATGTTATCCTAATTTAAAGAAATAAATTAATTTTGTACAGCTTGCAATATTTTTTTCCTAAATAATACCCATTTAAATTCGAAATTTATAATACATAATATCCAATTCATTCATTCTCTACTGAAGATATCAATATTGAACTCTGTTATGCTGAACTGATCTAAAATACCTTTTAAAAGTAAATAGGTTTAAAATAATCGTTTGCACTTAAGTAAAATCGTTTGTAAAATTTTTTTAAATCAAATTAACACATTTATTGTTTCACATACTTATGCAGTCTTGTATGCTACGGCTTACAAACCGTTGCCAAATTAAAGAACGGAGAGCAGAAATTATAGAAAAACATCACAAAAATGCTTCCAATGATGGGATAGGATTTCATCACTCTCTACTGACGATATTAATATTGAATTCTATTGTGCTGAACTAATCTAAAAAACCTTTTAAAAGTAAATAGATTTAAAATAATCGTTTGCACTTAAGCAAAATCATTTTTGCAATTTTTTTAAAAATCAAATTAACACAGTATTTATTGCTCTACTTATGCAGGCTTGAATGCTATTGCTTACAAACCGTTGCCAAGTTAAAGAACGGAGAGCACAAATTATAAAAAATCATCAAAAAAATGCCTCCAATGATGCAATAGGATTTGCATCCGCTACCTCCACGCTACAGAGTGTTTGGCGGAAGGTCCTTAGCGCTCGGACCGTGAGGCCCCATTAACAATCAATTATGTGTTACAGGCATTGGCGTATTAAAATATCAATATGTCTTGATGGTGATAATCCCTTTAAATCAAATTTATTTAATCAAAAAGTTTACTTATTAACCGCATAGCTGCCAACTTGTACGGCCGTTGAGAAATAATTTTCTTAGTGGTAGCAACATTAGCGTTTTGGCGTATTGAAATCTTGAAGTTTCAAAACAAAATTTTTAAACTACCACGACGAATCAATAATTTAAAAAAAATGAGTACATAAGATCTATTTGATGGCTAATTATACTTGTAGATGTCTTAATAGTCTAGTTTTTAGAAAATTCTTCCAAATTTATTTGTTGTTTTACTACCACTATGTAAAATATTTTTCAACGCCCGTACAAGTAGGCAGGTATGTAATCGTAGCAGTTTCTGAACATGTTAATATATTGACTTGAAAAGTTACTACGAATTATAACGAATGTATTTCTAGATATAGATGACATTAATTTTTTTAAACGGTATTTACGGTTTCGTTTATATTTTATGTGGTGTACAATCTTAAAAAGAACGTATTGATTTATATATATTTATTTACACTTGCCTGATCCTTCGAAAATAACACTTACGGCAAAACATATGACATTAAAGCAGCGTATCATAAACTGAAATGTATTATTGCCATCTTCCTACTTGTTAAAAGTTGTTAATTACTTTTTATGTAAGCCAAAAGCTAACTTTTGATTTCTTTTAAAACTGCCGAGTTGCCATAGCAACGTCTTCATTTTGTGGAACAAGAAATGATCGTCTGAAAATTATTATGTAAATAAAATGTTGTTCTTTTTTCACCTCTTTAGTCACCCCGAGAGAATTTAAAAATAAAAATAAAAAATGTTCGTCAGGTAATAGAATAAATATTGTATCTTATAAAGAAAAAACGTCTGCAAATTTGAAATTAGCGAAGCTTAATTATCTAAGATCCGTTCAAAAATCTTATGCAACTGGAAAAAAAAATTGTTTCCAACTTAATCGAAAACAAACCTTTTTCTCCAATACAAGGGAGCTTCAAGCCAAAGGTTAACGCTACTTCAATGAAAAACAGAAAAGACACTTAGAAGCAAACAAAACAAAATTAGAAATAATCGAAGATAAATCTTTTTCTCCAATACGAGCGAGCTTCAAGCCAAAATGGTAATCCTTCACGTGACGTAAGCCAGGTGANACAACAACGCCCCCTATAGTTCGTTGCGATCGCGAATTTAAAAATAAAAATAAAAAATCTTGGTCAGGTAATAGAATAAATACTGTAGCTTATAGAGAAAAACCGTTTGCAACTTTGAAATTAGCAAAGCTTAATTAACTAAGATCCGCTCAAAAATCTTATGCAAAAAATAAAAACTATTTCCCACTTTAATCGAAAACAAACCTTTTTCTCTTATACAAGGAAACTAAGTTAAAAGCTACTGCAATGAAAAACAGAAAATACATTTAAAAACAAATAAAATCAAAATTAGAAGTAATCGAAGATAAATCTTTTTCTCCAATACGAGCGAGCTTCAAGCCAAAATGGTAATCCTTCACGTGACGTAAGCCAGGTGATGTGTGACACACTGCTCAGTTTTCTGGTGAATCATCGCATTTTTCCCTCTTCCTTTTTTTTTTAAACGGATTCTATCTGAGTAAGCAATTGTTTCATGCTCTTAAATAAACAAACAAAAAGAAAACAATAGATGATATCACTTCTAACAATACGGTAAAGGACCACTTTTATTTTCATTCTTTTTTTAATACTCTTTTAAGACAAACAGAAAATTTTTTTTATTCCGTAGAAACTTATGCTTATAATGGTCTGATGACAAATTAATTGAATATGAATTACATTTCATACGAAATAATTGGTTTCTTTGAATAATTAATAATATTCCTAAAAAGTGCGTTTTGTTTATTTTGTTCCATCGATAAATAATTATAAAAATGCCATTAAGCAATGCCAGGGACAGTATAGTAATGCAGGCCTGTCAATTACTACGCTTTTTGCAAACTATTTTGTAGACATTTAAAAACCAAAGCTTTAAGAATTTTTTTGTAATTTTTCCAACATTTTTAAAAATTTCACCACGAGAGAGCTGAAATAGAACGGCGTTGCATATGAACTTTTAAATCCTTTATGTGTAGTGGAGTGAGCAATAAGTTTAAATGAATAAAAAAAATAATACATTAAAACATAAACTTAGCTACGACTAGAATGAATTTTTACAAAAAGCGCAGAAAGTTGACAGCCTTGATAGTAAGTAACAGCATCTCCAATGGTAACTTGTTTTGCAAAAACAACATCTCTTTTTAATATTTTTAAATAGGTACTTTACAAGTATGCAGAATAGATAATAGCATAGCACACAGAAACATGTTATTGCCTGCATGGTAATCGTAGTGTTTAAACAAACGTTATTCCAATGAATCATTTGAAAATGTGACTTTTCATTACATTGACCCAAGCTCTTCAATTGATTAAAAAAAAGAAGGTGACTATGCGCAGTAGATATTTTTTTTCGCTTTAACTAGCACTCACATGTATAAGTCACGTGTGGAGTCACGTGTCATACAATCCCTAAACATTCTGTGGTAATCACATAAGGATATACGTCTTTATGTCACTTAGAAGCCTTACAAAAAAGAGAAATCTTGCCATCTATTTTTTTTCTTCCTTGTAAGTTTTAATGAGCCCAGATAAGAAGTTGTAGAAATTTCCTAATTATTAAAAAAAAAATTGATCACAAATTCTTTTTATATCCTAAAAACATTGACTTTTCTTTGACGTTTTGCAGCATTTCAGAATTAGCATAGAGGACCCAAGTTAAAGATAGATTTAACTTGACCTAACAGTATTAACCCGTGCTGCGGTTTCCGCATGGACATCTTAACGCAGGTTTATGCCGCTGGCACGTTAACTTGACCTAATAGTCATGGACAACTGTGGCGAATACACAACAGCTTTGAAAATAGCATAATTTTCGCAACAAAAAAAGCTTTATTTTATGCGACGACAGAACCTTTCTGGAAAGACCTAGACATCAGCTGGATTACAAGATCACGAGCTTTTGTGTGCATATTAAGCAATCATTGATGAATTCACAATACTGTTAACTTAAGAACAAAATTAAATGAATAAATAAAAAGCAAAAGTAAAGTCTTGTTAAAAGTGATGGAACACTTATTTGAGTGGTGAGATTTTATTTCATATTCAGTATGGTTTTTTGAAGCTCTTTCGCGCCGAGGAAAATAAAAATTTAAAAAAACACATAGTTTAAATGTCTTAAACTTTCAGCAAAGCTACATTTTTAAACTAAATATGCCACCTTACCGTGCAAAATTATCTGAACTTTAGAACGGACAATTACTTATATATTACATTACTTAAATATTTAAAAAGTTATTAAGCTTTTTTTAAAAAAAAAAACGCCACTTAGGCGAAAGTTTTCCAGCCAGAAGAAAATTATCAAAACCAATGCCTTATTCTCATTTTTTTAATTTTTATGAACCTAGATAATGCAGCATTGGAGTAAGTTTTAACCCTTTCGGGACGGGTAAGTCATAAATGTATTCGTAAGGAATCAGTATGAGGATAGCAAAAAATAAAAAGCGGTAGCTTAAGTTTAGGCATAGCTAATTTGACAGATTTATTTTTGCTTTCCTTTTAAATCGAACACATCCAATCCACGTGTGTTAAAAGTGTAACTATGCAATTTTTAATTCGAACTAAGTAGTGGTGAATTAAATAAAGCAAACTATTATTACCCCGCCCACAAATAAACTGCTAAAGAAATACTTTGGTTACAAGTTTTATCTTTTTACCCTGATTGATACGGTTTTATGCTGGCACGTATTTGTGACAGTCGCCGCGAAAGGGTTAAAATATTAAAAAATTAAACTACAAACGCTTTTTATTTTCCCAACTTTGTGGCTTTTCTCCAGATAGACGTTTTGCTACACTTTCTGAATATACATAGACTGCGATGTCTAAAGTTAAGACTAAGCTTGACCTAACAGTCGTGAGAAAATGATGCAAACTTACACAGCAGTTCTGAAAATAGCATATTATTTGTAAAAAACATAATTTCGTTGCAGAAATTTTTCATTTTAATTAGTTTTGCGCTAACAAATCTTTGCAGCGAGGCGAAACATAATTTATTCAAGGCTGCCAAGTACTGCGCTTTTTGCAAAATATTTTATAAAGTGGTTGACAATTAGAAACAAAAGCTTTCAGATTTTTTGGTAACTTTGCCAACATTTTAAAAGCCTCACCACGAGAAGAGCTGGAACTAAGTGGCGTTACATATGAAGTTTTCAACCATTAAACATGTAGTGGTGTAGAAAATAACTTTAAATCAAATTTGTAAAACAATGACACAAACAAAAACATTAGTTTATAAGAATATTTTCCAAAAAAGCGTAGAAAGTTGGTTGCCTTGTTTACGGATGATATTTTCCTGATGTGATTTTAGAATAATAAAAAAAAGTTAAAATCGAAAGCTATATATTTGCTTTACTTAATCAAATACTTACTAACGCTTTTTTGTCTAATTTTCTTAAGAAAAGAAGGATTTTTTTAAAATTTAAATAAAAACAGATTATAGCTTCTTTTTTTTCTTCAAAATTTAACTAAAATATGCAGCCGTTTTTAAACATTCAATAAAAATCTTCGACTAAGATAAAAAAAAACAATTAATGTTTCTGAGTGTGTTTTTTAGTAATAGACCAAAAATGAAAATACTTAATAAACTCATTTAAGACTATTCAAGCAAAAACGCAACATTTTCATAGACGCCAACTGCTTTGGACACGCCTAAAGAATTAAAAAAACGGTAAATAACTACAAAGTAAATTTTGCAAATATTTGACTATTTTTGTTAGCTTTTTAAAAGTTTTGACTGACTGTTGATGATGATGTGGGGGGGGGGATCTCTGCTACTAGCTTTTATCCCCCTTTTTTTAAAAGTCTTTTGAAGTGGTGAATAATATAAGCCTACGAATTATTTAGAAATAGCGGTGGATAAAAATCTACTAAATTAAATTTATTAAACCAAGAATTACAATTGATAAACTACCACTATAAAATATATACTTGCTGTCCGGAGCAAGTTGGCATCTCTGCATTTTGCTGTTTAGTAAAAAGTATTATGGAAATAACAAAAATTACAAAACATTAAAATAACAAAAATTCGATACAGTGTTTATGCTAAGAATTGTTTGATATTTTCTAGTGCTTGTTGCCATTTTAGCTGTATATCGCAGTTGCCTAATTTTAGATCAAAACATTTTTATATTATTGATACATCATGGAGCAATTTCGAAGATGAAATATTCAGCCCTAAATTTTATAATTGCGCTAAGCACTAGTCTTTAATGTGTTAAATAATAAAAACATTTTAAACCCAAATTGCAATCCGTAGTAAAAACATCTATGAAATATTAGCAAAAAAAAAAGAGAAAAAAAAGCATTAATCAAAACATTTATATTAGAAAAGATAAATAACTGCAACTTCGACACATATTTACACGACCTACAAAATTAACGCATGAGGTTAACTTTTCAAAGGCCAAAACAAAAATTCGACTTACTATAGAATTTGCATGATTTGTTCCGCCGTTTTTCAAAAATTAAATAACGACTTCCATTAGTTATCCACCCTCAGATATGAAAAGAATACATGTTTACAAGAAAACTATTGTTAAGAATGAAATAGTGTTTGCTATTTTTTTCTCTCTCCAGATTCCTAAGAAGTTGAAACACCAGCACGAACTAGCATTTTTCAATAGCAGGCGTGAACGGAGTAAAATGATTTCCATTGAAATGGCTTTTGTAATCTGTTCTTTTAAGGATGTTAAAATAAAACTGTTCTAAAACATTAAGAGGAGCGAATTTTTTTGTGGGGTGTATCAACAGAAACTATTAATCTGTGTTAGAGTATCTTCCTTCTATTTGAGTTCAAAAAACTTGAAATCATAATTTAAGTTCACATATTTGTCTACAGACACCATTTAAGTATTTCGTTTAGTTGATTTATTGTTACTAGTTTAACGTAAATGTTGAAAAGAAAACCTTTAAGAATATAATTCACTTGAAATTTCTTTCAAGAAATTGCTTTAACTGTGATGGATTATACTGTTTTATAATAAGGGCAAAGTTTATTTAACTGTTCTTAAAGCGAAAACAAGTTGAGATCATCTTAAATCCGTAAAGTATCATAATTCACACGCTTTCAGCACTTTTCAAAACTGAAGAAAATTGTTAGAAATTTTTTTTTTTGTTCCATTGCCCACCTGGGGAATGACATTGCGTCAATACAGACATCTGAAAGGCAAAATTGTTGGTCACTCTTTCGGGGGCACCATATTAGGTGGGCACCCGAATAGGGCAAGGTTTATTTAACTGTTCTTAAAGCGAAAACAAGTTGAGATCATCTTAAATCCGTAAAGTATCATAATCCACACGCTTTCAGCATTTTTCAAAACTGAAGAAAACTGTTAGAAACTTTTTTTTTGTTCCATTGCCCACCTGGGGAATGACATTGCGTCAATACAGACATCTGAAGGGCAAAATTGTTGGTCACTCTTTCGGGGGCACCATATTAGGTGGGCACCCGAATATGCCAAGGTTTATTTAACTGTTCTTAAAGCGAAAACAAGTTGAGATTATCTTAAATCCGTAAAGTATCATAATCCAAACGCTTTCAGCATTTTTCAAAACTGAAGAAAATTGTTAGAAACTTTTTTTTGTTCCATTGCCCACCTGGGGAATGACATGGCGTCAATACAGACATCTGAAAGGCAAAATTGTTGGTCACTTTCGGGGCACCATATTAGGTGGGCCACCGTTGCTATCACAGTAAGGATAGTACAGAGAATGAAAGAGCATCCATGCCTTGCCCGGGAATCGAATCCAAAACCTCTCTGATGCAAAGCCAGTTACCTGACCCCTACACAGATTTGTCGGCTTGTTAGAAACTTTAATTTCTTTTCATACCAGATAACTAGTTCGAACTTCTGCAAATTAGAAAAACGATAGTTGAAATAATTTTAAAGCCTTGAATCCTTATTGGAACCTTGAAACCTTAATCTACGCATTATTTTGCTACAGGTTAAGAGAATAATTAAAATTTTTGTAAGAAAAAAAAACTGTTTCTTGCAAAAGAAACAACAATTATTGCGAAGCAATAATCGGGATTGGTGAGCGGTAGCAAACAGGGGTATTTGAATAAGAATTTTGTATTTGAATAAAACTTCATCAGTATTTTTATTTATTTTTAATCAGAATCCATGCATCGTGTGGTTGACATGCCCACTGTATGCGTTCAAAGACATGCAACATGCAAACCCATCTGCATTTTTCTTCAATAGAAATAAAACAGAATAATAAATTTTGCGTGACAAATTCCGTATTACTCACAGGTGTACCGTGATACACAACAGTGTTTTATCCTTACATGCCCAGTATTTACTGAATGTTAGAAAGATTTTATTAGCGATAAAATGTTTAATTGAGTGACTTAGAAAGTTAATTCACTTATTTTCTTTCCCCATCTCCTTTAATCATTGGGTACATGAACATTGCTCATATTTACTCTATGATTACAAGCTAAAGGTTTTTAGGGAATTATCACGGAAAGTTTTATGCGAAAAAGAGTCGTGACAATGGTTTTATCAAAGGAATTGGTGATGACTTTCTACAGCTCTAAATCAAAACATTAGAACAATTAAAAAATTCGACATTAAAAACTCTCTTACTCTATTAGATTTTTACGAACCTAAATTTAATTACAAATTTAACCAGTCAAGTTTACATATTTCAAAGTATGTTTAAACAATTAAAAAATCCAAATAAAACCTAAATTAATTATACAGTTTATTTTTGAAAAAAATAATAATAAAAATATTTGAATAAAATTTTATGTGATCCAAAATCTATATATATATTTCTCTTACACGGCACCAAAAAAAAGCCTCATTACAACTCCCCGAATGGCAACGTTAGAAAATCGACCAATGATTGCTGCTAAAAATGTCACATGGCAAATGTCACATGAGGTGGCTCAACATATAGCGCTTTTAAAAACGGAAACAATAACCAGAGTGAGCATTATCAGGTTGTTCAATTCAGATTCATGCCCTAAAAACATGATAATATTTAATTTAAACTCAATTAGGAATTAATTAATTAATTGAAGTGAGAATGCTTTAAAAGGCCGCTGTTGAATTGATATTTTTCTACTGGGAGCTACCTAAACGTCTAAAAAACGTTTAAGTGTTTGTATTGAATGCATTGAATTTTTTTATATTTCGCGTTTATTTATGCATTGAATTTTCACGCTTTAAAATGCAGAATATTAGTGAAGCAATATTTGATAATTTATTTTGCTAATATGTTTCTTATTTAGCTAATGTTTTGATTTTTTCACCATGTACAATCTAAATAGCTAATATACTTTTTTAAAAGCCAATAAGAACATTGGTAGAATTCTTCTACATAAGTACAATACTATGTCTTTGATGATAAAATACTATGTCTTTGATGATAATATATTATGTCTTTGTGCTAGAACATTGTGTTCATTGGCGAGCGAGCGCAGCGAGCCATGGTTCACGGCGTGAACCACATAGGATTGCGTAGCAATTCTCGGGGGTTGACGAGCGTTAGCGAGCAGGGGGCGGAGCCATTATAAACACTAAATAATAAATATTTCATTATAAACACTAAAATTCAATTATAAACGAAGAAAAAAGTTACTTAAAGCTTTGAAGCATTGTCCTTAGCTGTGATCACTGCTAATAAATTATCTTGCTTTGAAAGAATAAGTTTTAGGCAGTCATTTTTGTTTACATTAGCCCAAGTAGATTTAATAACCTGTACTAGATCAGCTTTGTTTGTAGAAGCAACTTCTTGCAGTTTCTTTCTTTACTATGCCTCATAAATTTTTAATTGAGTTAAGATCTGATGAATTAACTGACCACTCTAATTTTGCGTTGCTACAGCAAGATTTTAGTTCATTTTGATATATAGCTTTGATATCTGATAAAGCTGAATCTCGTTGGAAAATTAAATCATCCTCAAGCAAGTCTTCAAACGATGGAATCAACTAGTGTTCGAGAACATTTTAATAAGTAACTGAATTAACAATTAAAACTACGTTTCTTTTAGAAAAGAAACTGAAGTAGATGAGATAAAATAAGATTAAAAATAATATAAATAAACCATTCCCTAAAAAAAAAAAAAAAGAATTATTGAGATCCCACAATTAATGTCTATTTTCATGCATCGCACCTAAATTAATTATAGAAGATCTTAAAGTGCGAAGATCTTAAGAAAAAATAGGTATTACAATATATTCATGGTAATTTCGCTACACAAGTCACAACTCAAAATGAAATGCAACTATGAAATAAGTGAAATAAGGCTTACGTTGCGTTTAAATTGTAACCAAGTATATTTAGTATGATTATTAGTATTGTTCACGCTATAAACATCCATTATTTATCGATAATTATCAGAAATTTTTTGGAAAAATTTTACGGGTCACTCCAACACAAGTAACGGATATCTCTCTGTTACTTCACACCGTTCAAAAGCAGGTTAGAGCTTAAATCAGATGGCTAAAAATAATTTTTGCAACGTAAGAGATAATAACATTAGAGAATATAATATATTTATATATTTACGACATGAGAGAATATTTAATAAAATAAAAATTATATACAACGCTTTTCGTATTTTTTTCCTAAAAAACAATAATCAAAAAATAAAGTTTAATTACAAATTTATCTTTTCTTCGAAAGTTCTTGTTTTAAAAACGTTTCTTTCAATTTTTTTTTTAAATTTCTTCCCGGATTTTTACTTTTAAAAAAAAACTAACATATAGATTTTGAAAGGTCCACATTTTAATTAATAGTTGTTATTTTAAAAGTTTCATGCTAAAAATCAAAGTGAAATTTATTTTTCAAAAGCGTTTATATACTTTCAGGTTTCAGGCTTTTTAAAATTTTATGTCAGACTCATTTTAAAAAGAAAACATGTCTATTCGGCAGGTGATGTGAAAAAGAAATAGAGGGACTTTTCATTTCAAAAATCCCTACTTACCCCAGAGAGGGAAGAATCGCTATCAACATCAGAATAAAAAGTGACATGTCTTCTAGGAAGTTCCACTGAAGCAGGAAACGATATCTCTTCAATGTCAGCATGTCTATTAAAAAGAAATAAACTATATTGAAAACAGTTTTGAAAGCATTCATAAGTTTACGGTTCAAAATTCTTCAAATATAATGATAAATATGCCTTTAGCAAACAATATGTGTAATTCTAAATACATAGAATTCTAAATATAAAATATAGATTTTAGATAGATGAGATTAAAAATGTTTGCAAGATTTTCAACACAATACGGTGAACACAAAACTTTGAGTTGAGGTTATATATATATAAATCACCAAGATTTAAATTTTTAAAAGAAGAAGATGCTGAAGACCATTGTAAATCTGCTCCTAAAATTAGTTTTTGAAAGTTAAATTATATTGAAATTGATAATTTTTTTAAAATTTTTTTTAAACAAAATTATTTAAATCGAACATTTTTAAAATTATCATAATATATACATTTATATACATATACATTTATATACATATATATATACACACATATATATATATATATATATACATATATATATACATTTAGAAATATAGTTGCAAACCTCGGGCATGCTGGTTAGGTTTTAAGAGCACAATGGATCAATTTCTCAAATTCATTTAAAAAATAAAGTTGCCGAAATTGGGTACTTGCACTTCAAGAAGAAGATCTCGGGATACCCACACACGTGACCTATGACGTCAGCGTCAGCTGATAGTTATAAACAAAATGACGTGTTAAATTGGAGCTAAGTTTCTCCACATAAGTTAGAATGTTCATTAACGTGAAATTAATTAAATACAGCACCATATCACACCTCGAATTTGTTGAAATATAGTTCTTTCCCGTCTACGGCTTTCACTTAGCTTATATTTATTATTTGTTTATGTATTTTATTGTAACCGGGATATATTTTTGTTTTGTGTACCTGGCAACTTCGATACAAAATTGATTTGTTTATGTTCCAAATGGCTTCGTGTCTGTCCTTGTGTTAAATAAGAAATATATGGTGAAAGAATATTTGTCAAAAAAATCTTTATTCAGATTATATAACAGATTTTATTCATACTAGGAGGCTTCGCCCCCTGCTCGCTGGCGCTCGTCAACCCCTGGAACTGCTTTCGCAGTTCATTTCGGATTGCTTCGCAATCCAATGCTCGCTTTGCTCGCTCATTGGATACGTTCTTAACGTTTAGCTCTTGTATACTTTTTTGAAGAATACTGAAGTTCCGAAAACTTTTCACTGCAGAAAATTCTAAGCCTGTACATTTCAATATTATCTGGGCATTTGGCGATACAACACTTATAGAATTGAAGGATTTGTTACGTCAAGCACTCATGTATCATAATTTTGATCTAGTTGCGCTTCTATGTCATTTTGATTTATGTTTCTAAGTTAACTTTCGAAAAATTCTATGGCTGGCAACAGCATTTTTATTTTTTAAGTTGTTTATTTTTTTTTATTTCTTTTAGAATTCGTTATTTTTTTAGCGAAATGTTTTTTAAACTAACAGAATTCTTTGCCGACTGTTCTCTGTATATATGAAGAAAATAAAGTAAATATTTAAGTGTTGTGAAAAGAATCTTATTTAGTTACACAAAGTACTTCTTTAAAAATGAAAACTGTTGCCACTGGCGGAAAAGAAATACAGCCTAAATTTGGGAGCCACGTAAGAGAATTATATATATTAGATTATATAGATTATGTCACTTAAGAGTGATACTTGGCGGGTTTGCCTTACTCGAAATAGAATGGAAAGAACAGTTGCTAACGTAAACAAATGACGCGTTTCAACAACCAATCAGGATAGAGATACCCGCACAACGTCACTTGCTGGTGCCCCATTAGCCATGCCTTTTGTACTACATGACTTAACCATCTGCACTCCTAGTACTTTAAAATGCTGTTTGAACTAATGCAAGTGCTAAATCATTTAAAATACACACTACAATTTTTATTTAAACTTTTGTAGCAAGGGTGCGATATGGTTACTAATTGTAAAATTATAAAAAAAAATATTTTCTGATTGGTAATTATAGATGGCACCTCAGAGGTGACATCGGAGTGCAAAGGGTTAATAGAGTTGATGAATTGTTTATGTAGAAACCTGACTCAATGAATTTTTATAATTGGTAAGGTCTTAATTTAAATCAATGTGAATTCAATATCAGAGACGTCAGCTGCTCCGGATTCGATAAAATGTTTTAAAAAATAATAGAGAACTACAAACTAAAATTTGAAGATTTCGGTTAATTTTGCCATATTTTTAAGGGTTCAACACGGCTTAACTATATTTATTGGTTTATTGGAATTACGTATATTTGGTTTATTGAAATACACGGATTAAGCGTATTGGTTTATTGGAATTACACACATGTGTAGGCTTGTGCTCAATTTACGTTTATAAATCTTTGTCATATAGAAGAACAGATAGCACAATACAGAAAAGGACAAAACGAAGATACATCCAGAGTAACAAAGAGCGGGATTCGAACCCGCTACCTCCACGCTTTGCACAGCGTTTGGCAGGTAGTTCGAGCACTTTGTTCGAGAAAATTTAAATAAATGGAAATAATAAGAAGCAGCTTGCTCAAAAACTTTAGTTTGCTGACTGCAGATGAGGATGAGATTCATGCATTTTTCTCGAGGAAATAATATAGGTCAAAATAAAGAAGCAATTTGCTCAAAGTTTTAGTTTTTTGTTTGCAGATGAGAGTGAAGTATCAGCACGACGGAACGCCTTGTATTCTTTTTGCGCGCTGAACAGTCACAACAGTTAAAATTTTGTTTTTTCTAGAATTAGAGTTTTCTCGGATAAACTGTAACAAAGTGGCGTATCACACAAGCCTTTAAAATACTTAGTAGTGGTAAGTAAAAACCCTATAAGTGGAATTAACTAAACCAAAAACCTTACATTAAAAGACTACCACTCGAAAATATCTTTACGCTGTTCGGAGCAAGTTGGTATGTCAGCCCCAATTATTATACAATGCACTGTTCTCAACGTCTGTTTCCTATGAGTATATAGCCAAACTTCTAAACATAACATTTTGAAACTGCATGCTAATATAGGAAAATAAAAATTAATGCACCGTTAAGGTGATAGCAAAATATACTGACTAATTCTGAAATGAATTAAACATTAATAATTATTGAATAAACTCAAAATGCCACACTTAATTCGTTATTTGAATATGTTCCAGATTACATCATGCCAAACAAGAATAATCCTTTATTAGTATATGGTTAATACTCTAAATAGAGTAGACATATATATTAAGCACAGAGCAACCAATCACGCGTAATTTATAGAGAGCTTATGCAACAATTAGATAATGACACGCATTCTACCATTATCAGCATTCATGTTAATGAATTATGCGCTTAATTATACATAATCTGGAGGTTTATTTCGCTAGTTTTCGACATTTAATGTACAATTATATAACTTACTGTTCGTAACAAAATAAAATGGTGCATAATATGTGAATCTAGCTATTTTTACATAATTATGAAAGTACTTTATAAATTTTTTTTTTCCAAAGTAACCATATTCAATAACCTACCTAATTAATAATAACTGTTTATCACTGTAAATACATCTGATCTTAATAATAATAAATCACATGTAGGACGTTTTCTTAAGATTGTAAGCTATATTAATTGTTTAAATTTATTAATAAACTAGATTCGATTTTTTGCTTAATAAGTTTATTTTTAAATGATTTTGATTATCATGCCGTATGAATAATTCAAACATATTTCTGTATAAAAGAGCTAGTAAGCTCTCTTACATAGAAAATCTACCCGATTCTAATAATTATGCAGGGCCCTCGCTAAGCATTCGCCACCTCGCCAAATGCGATAAAATCGCAAATTTGTCGAATATAATTGCGTTTCAGCGAAAGTATTGGCGAATTATTTTTTCCAGTGGTAAAAAATATTTATATCTAACTCGATCCTTAAAATTACGTCAAAAAGAATTTTTCTAAACAAATCAGTATTTTTTATTCGATTACAGTAATTTTCGGTAGATGCGCCGCATAACCAATTAGAATTGGGTCCAAATAATATAAGCCTGAAACAAACTACCGTAAAATAATTTTCAATGGAAAAAAAAAATGATCATAAAATTTTTTTTTTAAGACTTGCATTTGGCAAAGACTTTCGAAAATTGGCGAATACTTTTGATATTTGGCGAATTTTCAGGTTAATAAATTGAAATCTTTAGAGCGGGCCATGATTATGTTATACGAAATCAACATAAGACGTTTTTTTTAAGATAATGAGCCGTATTAATTTCTTAGATTTATTAGTAAATTAGATTTATTAGTAAACAAACTTTTTTGTTTAATAAGTTTATTTTTAAAGGATTTTGATTATCATGTCCATATAAATATTTGAAACATTTATCTGTATAAAAGAAAGAGCAACCTGTAAAGTTTTCATGTGCCATTGATTTTAATAAGTGCTACTTATTTGTAAAAAATTATAATTTATTCCACTATCACTGAAATATATTTTACAAGACGTGCAATACTCCAGCAATTACGAATGTATTGAACTATTAAAGTGCAGTGTGTTTCATTTGCAATATGATTTTAAAGCAGATTTTTGAAAGATGTTTTTTAAGTTATAGTGAAATTATAAAAATGAATGACAACTTTAACCATTCTTTTACTATCACTGACAAGAAGGGGGCACGTCTTGAAAAATTCCCTTTGGAATGAAACTTGGGTATTCCCTCTCAAAATATTAAAGCACTGTAGCACATAAGCTCTTCCAATTCCCAGAAAAATGAATTTGAAAATTTAAGCTCATTAACTATACTAGTTAGGTTTTCACCATGTTAACGACACAGTGGTCAAGTGGTAAAATACTAAGCTGACAACGATGTGCTCTGAGTTTAATTCTCGCCGTGATTAACTATATTTCTTTTCTCTTACTTTCTTATTTGCGAACAATTTAAACATAATTTTATCGTATTTTTTAAATATTAACCCTTTCTGAAACAGCAAATTTCGATTGAAAAGTTTAGTCAAGCAAGTGTAACCTTT